CAACCAGTCTGAGCTAAGTCTCAGATCTGAACCGGGGCCTCCCGTGTGGCTCCAGAATTATGCAGAGGCACCCTATGGCTTGCACACCAGCTGGAGGGGATTTACCTACCTTTTATCTGTACGGTAAGGTAATGTAATGCTCAACTCTTACTAGCTCACATTTATAGCTCAGTATCAGAGATGGTGAGAGTATTTATACCTTGAAAATTGTCAAAAGCTACAAATTAGTATTTTTGCATGTTCAGAGTGCTAGCTGTAACATCTACCAGCATGGAATTGAAATTACTTGTAACATCCATTGTATAAACCAAGCTGGGATGGTTACAGAACAAAGGTTAGCTAAAGAACTTTCTTTTCCGCCTACCATGTTACCTTTCAGAAGGAATTCAGTGCTCAGGAAGGTCTGAATAAGTAAATAAAGTACCTATTACAATTAATGAAGGCAGAGAGATTTGACAGGGATTGTGAAGAGGGGATAAGGAAGATTTAGATGCCGGTGACCTACTTTTGGTATTGTCTACTAAATCTCCCCGGGAAGTGTTTAGCTCTGATTATAAATATTAATTAGATTTCAATCAGAGTCGTAGTTAAAAGGTCCGTGTGTCTTAGGCAGAGACGTTTTGGTTAGATAGATAATAGATATAGCCAGGTCTATAGCATATACTTGCATGAGTTGCTCAAATTGGTAGTAAACTAGATCATTTCAGTTAGTAAAACAGACCCAAGCGAGAGACAAAGTTATAGGTGAATTTAATGACTATAAACAGACAGGGTAAAACCTTAATGACCTTAACAGACATGTAATTCCACCATATATGGGTAGGGTGGACATTCTTTCATTTTGTTATGTCTTCCTTGTTTTGCATAGAAGCCGAACAGCAACATTTATAGGAGCAGTAGCTCTTACATTTAAAGCAAAGATTCAAAGAACCTGATACCCATTATAAGGTTTCTTTCCTAAAATTCTTCAGGATAATTTGAGGCTGTTGGCTGCATGATACTATTTTGCACTATGGGGAGTGGAGTCTCAGGTGAGAGACAGCTCTAGTCCTTGAACTCTGAGCCAGTGAGAGCTGGGAATGCTGCAAACTTTCCATCAGTGCCAGAAAGAAGGTGGAAGGTCTTTCTTCTTTTACCACAATGCCCACAGACTAGGGAGTGGTGTTACCCACAAACCCAGAGTCTTGCTGAGTCTACTTTCACTGTAAATACTTTGTCTCATACCAGGAAGTTTTCTCAGTGTGGAATGTGTGAAGCGCACATCAGTCTGTTGTGACTGAGGCATTCTTTCAAAACCTGTCATCTGAGTCCAACAATGTTTCTATGTAAAGAGCCACTAGTTTTAATAATTTTATTTTATTTTTAAATGATAAATAAGAAGATCCCTTTCCTTCTCTGTAACACAATTCAACTATAGAAAAACTCAGTCTTTTAAAATTCCTCATACTTCTGGGACCAGTAGTTGGCATAATGGCTATGTCACTGGACTCCCATGTAGTCAAACGCGGTTTGAGTCCTGGACCCGGTGGCTTAAACTCACACCGGGCACGTGTGTGTGCGTGCCTAGAATCCCGAGAGGAGAATGGAGAAGAAGGGATTGCGGCATGGCCACCCCCCCCCGGGGGGTGATTTTTCGCATTCTATCTCTCTGTCTCTGTCTTTCTAGCAAGCGCTTGCACCCTATAGCAAAAACCTCTCCCCCCCCAAAATAAAAATTATTCGTAGTTCAACACTCATTCTTAAATTCCTTACACATTTTAAGTAAGAAAAATAAAGATTCATGTCTAGCTCATACGTAAATCATTCACAAAAGGAGCCATAGAATAATCAGGATCTAAAATATTAAATCACAGGTCCAATCATACATGTGTAGGAGGTGAGTAGCACTGTGTAAAACTGAATACACCCAGGATGCCCGTGTTTAGATTCCGGTTCAGGCCGAACACAAGCAGGACTGTGATTTTGGCTGGCTAAGAGAATGGGGGGGAAGGACGACAGTGTGGGGGGGACTCTTTCCAGATACTTGTCTATGTCTCTCTCTCTCTGCTAATTAACCAATCATTTGATCAAAAACAACATAACTATTTTTTCAGTTATGCTCTTAAGTAATTAGGTGTTTCAGTAGTTTACCTTTGTTTCCTATTTTCCTAGAACAAAGAGGTATATGTCATATTTTTATCATCAGAGGAGTTTTTTCTACAGACATTTAAAAAACAAAAAGTAAAAAATTAAAAAAAGGGTTTTTTTTATTTTTGAATTACCTTCAGTGTCAAATACTAATTGTATTGTCTATGACTCATAGCAGAAGAGGTGTTCTAATTTTCCATAATTACATTGACGATAATTTTACAATAAACTTTTTTATTGACCAAAGTCAAGCTAGATATTGCATCTGCAAACTGGTCTTCTCTGCCAGCCCTGTGATGAACTTTGTAAGGGCTTTATAGCAACAATAAAAAAAGTTCTTGATTGAAATGGAAGCCTTCCATAATTACATGCCACAGTTCAATTCTTATGCAATGAACTTGTGGTTTTCCAACTTTAGGACAAAGCATGTAGTTTTATCAGTAAGTTGAGATGCAGTCTTATTCTCCTTTGATCTATAAATGGTAGTTCTAGGGACCAGCAATTGGCGTAATGGCTACGTCGCTGGACTCCCATGTAGTCGACCTCGGTTCAATTCTGGACCTGGTGGTTTAACCTCATGCCGGGAGCCTGTGCATGCGTGCGCAAGATCCTGAGAGGAGAATGGAGGAGAAGGGATTGCGGTGTGGCCACACCCCCCCCCCAAGGGTGATTTCTCACATTCTGTCTCTCTGTCTCTCTCTCTGTCTTTCTAGCAAGTGCATGTGCCCTATAGCAAAAAATTCTCAAAAAAATAAATAAATGGTAGTTCTAACTTTGAAATGAGCACCTCACTCGCAACTATTTTCTTCATCACTTTCTACGTGGGAAAAATATTGATGTACTGACAAAAGAAGTTCAGCAACTTTCTCCCTGACATGAAATATTTGTTGAAAAGACCTATGTTTCCTCTCCTTAGAAGGTTTCTTAGATGAGGTTATGATGAAACAAATTCCAGGATGTGTGGGAAAATGGAAGTAAGTACGAGTTTATTTCAGTGCAAAAAAAAAAAAAAATCCATGCATAGTTTTTTCATAAAATTTCAAAAACTTTAAATCCAGGCATAGTTTTTTCATAATGTGCGTTTTCTACGAACATTTTAAAGACCCCCTTCATACAAGTATAAAATCTGAGTTATAGCTCTGGAAATGGAGCTTAAAGAAACCCCAAATTCTTACTTGTCTCAGAAATGGAAGGGCCCCTGGGAACCAGCAGTTAGCGTAATGGCTATGTCTCTGGACTCCCACGTAGTCGACCGCAGTTCGCATCCCGGACCCGGTGGCTTAAAACTCACGCCGGGCGCGTGCGTGCCCAAGATCCCGAGAGGAGAATGGAGGAGAAGGGATTGCGGAGTGACCATCCCCCCTGGGGGGTGATTTCTCGCTTTCTGTCTCTATGTCTCTCTCTGTCTGTCCGGCGAGCGCACGCGCCCTATAGCGAAAATCTCTCTCTCAAAAAAAAAAAAAAATTGAGGGGCCCCTACTCTAAAATATTCAATAGAAACAAAAAAAGTAAAATAAATAGTTTACTGAATTGAAACTACTTGAAGATGTTTGACACAAACTTTGTGCTGAATCAAAACTAGAATCCGTGTAGCTCATAGTGAATTATTTGGTAGAAGGATCTCAGATTAATAAATTGTACTATTTGTTTACTAAATAGTTGAAAAGTTATAACTCAATTTTCAAAGAAGACGACTGTTTTTTTACCACTTATGCTTAATATTTTTTTCTTTCAGAATTGAAGTATCTCAGCAACTGTCCCCATCCCCTGTTTAAAATTTCACTGGTACCTCAGTAGTTATATAAATTATTCTGGTATTTCATTCTTTACTTTTGTTGCGGTGACTTACTGTAACATTTGGTAAGAATTATTTTTCTTTGTACATTTTTATTGGACTTGGGTAAAAATTGTTTCACTCTTTTTACAATATTAATGTAGAATTATTAGGAAAGACGACTAAATCTAGATTTACTTTTCTTTTCCTTTCAGGTAAAGGGGGGATAGTAAACAACACCAAATTCAAAGTCATTTTTTTTGTCCCTAATTCTAAAGACTGTTTTAAAGACTGTGGCCACCAGGAGATTTTGCCGGGAGAACTGAAAAATTAATACCCTAAGACAGGTACTCTCAAGTGAAGTGCTGTGTGTGTTGAAACAGGGTTACTAGCAGCAGGGTTGAAAAAAATTCGATTGCTCTTCTTGCCGGTGACATACGGTACAAGGGTTGGCCCTGTTTTGGTCCACCTGCCAGCGGAGTTTAAAGTTTCCTAGGCTCGGAGGAACACAACGACTTGGATCAAACAGCCTAAATGGGAAGAAGGGCATTTCTGCTGCATCAAGGAAGCTGTTAAATTCTTGCTAAACTCTCTCTCTTTTATGCGTTCATGCACCCGACTGACCTCTTTCACTAACCAGAGGTTATTTCTGACAATGCAGGATATCCCGAAAGCGTGGAGACATATGGCTGGAAGATGAAATGGCCTCGGAGTACGGCCACATCACTATGTTGTGTCGCGTAGTACCAGATGGACAGTCAATGAACGGCGCAGGAATGTGAACGGACAGTTTTATAATGTGATTTTTTCCCCTGTAAAGCTGAAACAGATTTCATTTCCCTCTTTTTTCTTTTGCTCGATAGTACTTGATTTCCACTCTCTCTGCAAAATCAATTAACTCAACTTCGCAGTTAGAGGGCCAAAAAGGAAGGGAATGAGGCGATCTCGATAATCTTAGGAAGTGTCGGAGGAGTCGCAGTGGCAGAGAGATGCGGCTGCGAGCGCCGCGTCCTGTGCGGATTTCAGGGCTGCACCGCGCTGGCGGGTATTGGGCGGGCGGGGGGCCCGCCACGGCCCGGCAAGATTTTTTTTTAGGGGTCTGCGGAGCGCGCGGCCGCCGTCACCGCGGCGGCTGCCTTTCGTCCACTGCGCTTTATTTCCATTATCGCCGTCCTCGGAAAGTCATGGAAGACGGCCCCCTGCCAGACCTCAGAGACATCGAGCTGAAGCTGGGGCGCAAAGTACCCGAGAGCCTAGTGCGCTCGCTCCGTGGGGAGGAGCCGGTTCCCGGGGACAGGGACAGGGACCCCTCCGGGGGGAGCTGCGGCGCCGGCGGCGGCGGCGGTAGTAGCAGCAGTAGCAGCTGCTGCAGCTTCCCTCCCTCCCTGTCGTCCTCCTCTTCGTCCTCCCCAACCTCTGGCTCCTCAAGATGTAGCCACTCCAGCGCCCTGGAGAGGCTGGAAACCAAGCTTCATCTCCTCAGGCAAGAAATGGTGAGTGTGGTACGTCAGCCGTGGCGGGGAACCGAGCCAAAAGATGCGGCGATCGGAGGATGGGTTGGTTAAAAGAGGGCGACCGGCGCGGGGTACCGCCGGCTGGGCGCGTGGGAAATGTGGGTAGAGGAGCGCGCGCGGGGGCGGGGGGTCGTGCGTTTGGAGGCAGCTGCTGCGAGGCTTGTTTACCACGGACTTTGCTCGGTCACGGTTTGCTAAGACAGCAGAGTCTGTTCCGTTCTGTGTACTTTCTGATAGTGCCGACTCAGTGCTGCGGGCTGTCTTTGGTAAAGCTACCAGCCCGCTGAGGGTTTGCAGTTACTGAACCCATCTGGGGCCTGAAGTGTGGCGTTTACACTTCAGACCGGTTCAAAAGGTGGCTCAGCCCAATGCAGTGGCCGTGAAAACACTTCCCGGTTTGCCGGGAGGTGGCGCGGCGGGGTCCCTGCAGTCTCCTTCCTAGCTCACTCTACCACGAGTACCGCTCCGCCCTCTCCTCCCCGCGTCCGCCTCCCGCTTGACGCAGCAGCCGCAGCTGTTCCGTGGCCACTGAGGAGCAAATTCTCCACAGCTGGTTCTGAAAACAATGGCCCAGTCGTCCTGGAAATGCTTATGAACAGCTTGTTTCACTGTTTTGATCCAGAAGAGCAGGTGATCCCCAGGCCCAGGGATTTAGAAATGACCACCTCTGGCCCTTCTCAATTGTTTTTGGTTCTCTTTGCAAACCTTAGCCAAAGAACAGGACAATGGAGCAAGCACAAGGTCTTAGAATACTTGTTATTCCGGATGTACTTAGCCTGAGACACTTATTTACTTGCCAAGAGTTCTTGGGCAAGTCACTCTCTCTGTAGACCTCAGTTTATGTTTACAATGATGATTTGGTCGAAGGAAATGATCCCTTCCTAAACCCTGTGAAGAAAATGACCACAAAGTAACAGCATTTTCTACCAGCTTGGAAAGAAGAGAACTTGCAAGAGCCAGTCTTTTTATTTATTTGAGAGGTTTTTGCTATAAGTCGCATGCGCTTGCCAGAGACAGAAAGCAAGAAATCACCCCCAGGGCGGATGGTCACGCTGCAATCCCTTCTCCTCCATTCTCCTCTCAATATCTTGGGCACGCACGCACAAGCACCCGGCATGAGTTTAAGCCACCAGGTCTGAGATTCGGATGGCAGTCGACTACATGGGAGTCCAGCGACATAGCCATTAAGCTAACTGCTGGTCCCAGGAGCGAGTCTTAAGTTACCTACAGGATAGTGAGAAGGATTTCCATAAATGACCTGACCTGCTGGAAATTCGTTTTAAAAAGGTTTTTCTGGACCCTCTCTTTTTGTAGTTGGGGAACTCCAGAGAGAATAAATTTCAAGTATAAAGTAATCTTGGCAAATATATTAGTGCAAAAAGTCAGTCTTTACAGGTCATAGCCTGTGTTCAGAAAACTGGATGTCATTCCAGAAACCTCTCACAGATGATCTCTAAGGCTAGTCTGCCAGAGGACTTTCTCAATAGATTGTATGCCTTAAGTATTGGTTTTCTTCCCACTTGGAATGTTCCAGATGTTGAAAGTGAATATATATGAATAAGTATATATGTACATGTATCTATACATATATATTTGTATGTGTGTTTATTTATACACCATATGTATTACAAATGATTTTGGTGCTATATTCATATTTCTTTTTCTGAATATACACATATACACAGATTATATATATTATTTATTCAAGTATTTACTTAGCATTTACTATATGCTGGTAATAAACTGGATGCTAAAAATACAAAACAAAACCATCAATGAACATATCCGTTATATTAAGGGTTCTCACACTTCTTGCACTCATTTGCCATGTATTATTTGTAGTATATCAAAGCAAGCGTGTTCAAGAATTCTATAGTGTACAGAAAATAATCGGAGGGTTTTCAACTAAAGTACCTTCTATACATCTAATTTTTTTCAATGAAATTTTCAAATAATTGATCAAAATTTGCCCTCCATCTTGCTCTGTATAACTATTTTGGTATATTAATAAATTCTCTTTTTTTAAAGGTTTTTGTTACAGGGTGCCTGTGCTCGCTGGAGAGACACAGAGAGAGACAGTGAAAGGAAGATTAGGAATCGCCCCCTGGGGGAGGGAGGCCACTCTACAGTCCCTTCTTCTCCATTCTTCTCCTGGGATTTTAGGCATGCACACACGAGTGCCTGGTTCTTTTCAAGCTGCCGGATTCAGGACTCTAATGAACCACAGTTGGCTATGTGGAAGTCTATGCCTTAACAACCATGTCACCTGCTGGTCCTTAATACATTCTTTAAGACAAAGACAAACATCTACAACAGCAGCAGCAGATTGCTCAATTGACTTATGTTTTCTTTCTTTTTCTTTTCTTTCCTTTTTTTTTTTTTTTGGTGAGGTTTTTGCTGTAGGGCATGTGCACTTGCTGGAAAGCTTGAGAGAGACAGAGAGACAGAAAGCAAGAAGTCATCCCCCAGGGAGGATGGCCTGCTGCAATCCCTTTCCTCCATTCTCCTCTTGGGATCTTGGGCCCTCATGCACATACTCGCCTGGTGTGAGTTTAAGCCACTGGGTTTGGGACTTGAACCGTAATCAACTACCTGGGAGTCTAGTGACATAGCCATTATGCCAACTGCAAATTTTCTATGAAAAGCTTTAGTATCTTGGACCTAGAAAAGTTTGCACTAGAACAGATTTTTTTTTTTCTGTTAAACTTTGTACTGTAATAAAGATCTCCACTGAGCAAATGTTACCGTTGACTAAGGGGGTTTAGAAGGAGCGGATTGGAAACAAGTATTCCTTTGCCAAGGAGACAATCTCTCCCATTTTACATAAGTTTTGTGGGGTCTAAAAACTCCAGCTTCAGCACAATTGCAAAGCAACAGATTTGTTTTTATGTAGAGTTGGCGATTTTGTTATAAACACTGAACAGATGCAGTGCTGTAGTTCTTCCTGTCTCCTCTGAGTCCCCATGTAGAGGAGTTAGGGAACTAGAGTCAGGTTATGACCTTTTAATCATGATTTTCGTGTTCCTTTCCATCCTATACTCTGAGCATTGAGTTAACCTCTTTGGTATTATGCATGTCCCCCCATCTCTTGCTCATTATTTTGAGTTTTTCACACATTTTTCCTTCCTAGATGGTCAAGAATTGTCAGGTACTGGGCCCTCAGAACTCCTAAGGAACACCTGAGCCATGCACAAAAGCCTTTCCAGAGACCTCTAGGAATTAATTAAGCCTTTCTTCTTTTCCTATCGGAATGGATGTGTATACCACTGACATAGGACAGCGTAGATTGCAGGGAAGTACTCCCAACACTTAAAGGTCTTTACATACATGTGATTTCAGCATTATCTCTCTCATCTCCTTTTATGCTGTTATAGATTATTAAAAAAATTTTTGAAGTAAATATTCGATTCACTGCTCTCGGAGATCTGTGAAATAAGTTATGAAGCAAGTGAGTTGAAAAAAGATACTGAAGAGGGGATAAACTAAATATGACCAGATTCCTTAATGAGAAATTCTTTATTAACAAGATAAATAACGCCATATGTAACCAAGGGGGTGGGAGAGAAAATACTGGAGAAATATTTGCAAGCATGTATGTGATAGAATAGGCCAATTCCAGGTAACCTTCAGGATGTTAAAGGAACAAGACAAATTTTCCCAGGGTGAAGTGTTTTTAATTTGAATTTAGAGATAAGGAAGTTTGACAATATGGTAAGCACATGCAAAAGTACACACAGGAAATTATTATGAGATTGAAAATAGGGTCAGGCACCTCATATGAAGTGTACACAATTATATTTGTTCACTACTTTTCAATTCACAGTGTGTTTTGATACCTGGCATGTCACTTGAGCCCAAGGTCAACCTGAAAAAGAGTAGGTGTTAGCGTCTACGTTTTCCCAATGAGATTATTGTGGTTTAGAGATGATTGAGAAAGCAGGCCAAGGTTACACAGCTAATTAGTGAATGAGTCGTGAATCACAACTTGAACTCAAATCATCTGACTCCATAGACTGTGCTTTGTCCTCATCCCAGTCTCTGTATTCTAATACTCTTTCTTCAACGTACAGTGTAATTATTGTAAATCTGTGATAATTTAGTAACCCCTAGATTGCTAAGGGAGCCAGTAGAAGAGGAAGCTTCAGGATACATGCCAGGGGTTGTTACAGATACGGATCCATTAAAAAATGAACAAATAGGGGACCAGGCGATAACACAATGTTGAAATGTGATGCTCTGTGAGGCTGACTCATGAGAAGGTTCCAGAGTTGTGTCCCAAGACCTTCATGGGCATACCTTGTTGGGTACACTGTGTACCAATAATCCAGAATTTGCTGAGACAGGAGGTGATTGTGGTCTCAGGGCCCTGTGTGGGTGCTGTTTCACTCTTTCTTTCTCACTCATGGAAGTAATAAGTAAATACAACTTTTAAAAAGTCAACAAATAGGGCTGACTCTATGGTCTCGTAGTTAAGGCTGCTAGACCCCACATGACCAACCACACAGTTCAAGTGGCTCAAGAAACACAGTAGGTATGTGTATGTGTGCCCAAAATCGCGAAAAGGAGACGAGATGGAGGAGAAAGACTGTGGCATGGTCATTCTCCATGGTGGGGTTCTTTCTCCTCCTCGCTCCACTCCAAGGAGCACAGATGCCCTCTAGGAATAACTACCAAAAATAAATAAATAAATAACAAATATTTTTGAGTTCCTACTATGTGCCAAGCTTGCCTCTAGACCTCAGAAATATAAAACAAAGTGGTTACTATAAAATGTCACTCCCCAGAGGTCCTGTGTTTGGAGTTTTCATCCTGGTGTCTGTGCAAAGACTCTTTTTGAAGAATTTTCTAAATAGACTTTTAAGCCTTGCTTATCAAGTATTAGTCTATTTAAAGTCTCTTAATATTCAAAATATTTTCCAATAAATATAAATTTATTGTCAAAACTGTGTTTCAACTGTATTAATAAATTTTATATTGTA